GTAGCACGCCCTTGGAACAAAATACCTGAAATCATTTGCTTCCTGTAACCATCAATGAGTTTCTTACACATCTCTACTGAAGTTTTGGAGCACTCTTCTTTCGCCAACTGCTCCAAGTCTCTCAGATTAGAAGGGTTCCTTTTCCCAACTGCTGTTTTGAGATCTCTCCACAGATACTCTATGGGATTGAAATCTGGACTCATTGTTGGCCAGTTCAGTACTCTCCAGTGCTTTGTCTGAAACCATTTGTGGGTGCCGGCCTGCTCCTTAGCAGCCAGCTAGTCTTCAAATAGAATTTGGATTGTCAATCAATTTTCAACCAATTCGAATAGTTCAGAACATGTAGAATTCATTAAAAAACAAAATTCGTTACTATTTCATTCAGAGATTTGGATACATCTGAATCTCCGAATAACCAAAAACTTGTCTGAATTTATATTCAGCCCAAAACGAATTGCCCATGTCTGGAGGTGATGTAATCCAGCTTCAGTGATCTAACTTGGCAGCTCTTAACCTCTTCTCGTCCAGACCATGCCAGAAGGGAGCACTGCCGATGCCGGGGGACATTTCTAAACATCTCCTCGCATCCATTGCCTGTGCGCGCTCCCTGGGAGCGCACAGTGCTGCGATCTGTGCCCGTTGTGTCCGGTGGGCACAGATCGCTCTATGGGACCACTGTGTGAGGTCCTGATTCATGTCATCACTGATTGACCAATCAGTAATCATATGAACTGTAGTAAACAAGATGTCACTTCTGACATCATTTGTCACGTACCTGACTGGAGACTGAAATGACGAGGTCGACCTCACTTGTGTCACTAGCCCTGACCCCACTGGAAGTGGAACAGAGGGTGTCTAGGGACCAGGGGACAAGAGCGCCAGCAGATGTTGTATGCAGCTCTTGCAGTTGGAGACTTTGGAAGGCTGATGAACCTCGGATTCAGGCACCGTAGTACTATGCAGAGCTGGTATGGTAGATCGCCAGGTGTGCACCAGAGCAAGGCAGGAAGCAGGGATGGGAGACAGGTGCAGTGTCAAAGGAATAGCCAGGGTCATCAACGGGTGGACAGCAAGGTACCAAATCAGAAGCAAGCCAAAGTCAGGAGCAGAGCTGAAGTCAGGAACCAGTATCAAGCAGGAGAGTAATCAGAGTGAGGTCAGGAACAAGTCGGGTCAGCAACAAGGAAATCACACAGGAATGAGCAGGAAACAGGGAACAGCTGAAGACTAGTCAGCACTGAGCACAGGCAAAAGCACCTTTTAAATAGTCCATCTGGCGCCAATCTTCACCGTGCGTGATCGTGCATTTCTGTGCACATGTGCACGTCTATTCACCAGCCGTATCACGGGAATTCCCTTACATCATTGTTTATTACTTTTGAAATCTGTGAATGAACACAGAGGTCAAATGGTACAAGGCTATTCACAACAGCCTGTGACCAATCTCAGCTCTCACAGTATTTCTCAATGGCTGCAAGAATGCAGCCAGAGAGAAGGATAAATTATTGCTTTTACAGCCTTTATGAGTGTAAAAGGAATTAGTGTAAAAAAAAAAAAAAACTTCATCACCCCCCACAAGTAGTACAGTGTCACTATGGTGACACTGTACTGCTTGGGTGACAGTATGTAAAAAAAAATAAATACATACAAAATAATATTTAAAAAAAAAGTACATTTTTTTTTTTTTAAATTATAATTTTTTTCTATAAACTAATTTGGGTTATTATTTTTTTTAACAAAAAGCTGAATACATTTTGGCCAAGATTTATGAAGAAATATTATTTATTTGCAACATTTTATAAGAAAAACACTTTTTTTTCAAAATGTTTGGCCTTTTTAATTTATATAGCGAAAAATAAAAATCCCAGTGGTGATTAAATATCACCAAAATAAAGTTTTATCTGTCTCAAAAAAAATGCTAAAAATTTCATATGGGTACAGTGTTGCATGACCGCGCAATTGTCATTCAAAGTGTGATAGCACTGAAATCTGAAAATTGGCCTGGACTGGAAGGGGGTGAAAGTGTCTGGACTTGAAGTGGTTAACCACTTGCCCTCCTGAAGATTTACCCCCCTTAATGACCAGGCCTCTTTTTGCTACTCAGCGCTGCACTAATTCAACTGATAATTGCGCGGTCATGCAATGCTGCACCCAAACGAAATTGACGTCCTTTTTTTTCACACAAATAGAGCTTTCTTTTGGTGGTATTTGATCACCTGTGTGCTTTTTATTTTTCACGCTATAAACAAAAATAGAACAAAAATTTTGAAGAAAAACTATATTTTTTACTTTCAGCTATAAAAAATATATAGTAAACTCAAAGTTAGTTATAAATTTAGGCCAAAATATATTCTGCTACATGTTTTTGGTAAAAAAAATCCCAATAAGTGTATATTGATTGCTTTGTGTGAAAGTTATAGCGTCTACAAACTATGGTATAAATACTGCAATTTACGCCATTTTTTTGCTATACAGCGCTGCGCTAGTTTAATGGACAATTGCGCGGTCATGCAATACGGTACATAAATGAAATTTATATCCTTTTTTTCCCACAAATTGAGCTTTCTTTTGGTGATATTTGATCACCTGTGCGTTTTTTATTTTTTGCGCTATAAAAAAAAAAAGGCTGACAATTTCGAGGAAAAAAAACAATATTTTGAACTTTTTGCTATAAAATATGTCCAGTAAAAAAAAAATTTTAAAATCAAATTTAGTCATAAATTTCTGCCAAAATGCATTCTGCGACATGTCTTTGCTAAAAAAAAAAACCCCAATACGTGTAAATTAATTGGTTTACGTGAAAGTTATAGCGTTTACAAATGGCGAGAAAGATACTGGGATTTTAAAATTTTTTTTAATACTAATAATGGCGGCGATTAGCGACTTATGGCAGCAATCAGCGACTTATGGCGGGACTGCGGTGGACATTCTGACACTGGGGGGAACTGACTTGGGGTCACTGACATCCCCAGTGACACCAATACAGTGATCAGTGCAAAAAAAAAACACTGACACTGTACTAATGGCACTGGGGAGGAAGGGGTTAAGTTTTTATTATTCAGTTAAAGGGTTAACTGTGTGAGGGGAGTGTTTTACTAGGGGGCGGGGGGGGTGTACTGCACGGGGACAGCTGATCGGGAGAGATAAACTCTTCTCTCCGGCTCAGCGTGTCAGGAGCTGTCAGGGAACTGACAGAAAGCACAACTACTGCAGCCCTGCTCTCTGTCAGTGATTGCCGCTAATCACCGGGACACAGCCGGTAACGACCGGCTGGGACCCAGCGACTGACATCCGCGGCCGTGATCGGCGGGACAGGTAGGGCGGTGGCGCTTCGCGCACACCCCCTACCTGTTTTGAAGACACACATTTTAAAACGTGGTTTTGCCCAGCAATGCCGTCCTGCCAAAGTATTTCTACAGTGGCTGGGAGGCATGTGGTTAAGTTGCATATAGTGTCTACAACTTACCTTCTATTCAGCTGCTGGGGACTAAGCAACTGTAGCTAGGTGCCATCTCTATTATTAAGTCATTCAGGGACATTTACAGATGAGACTATGATTAACCCTTTTCCACCTAGTGCCCAGTTCTGTGACCTCTACATCACTTCCTGTTAGCAGAGTGGACCTGTAGTCCTATAGCCAATACATACTAATTGATGCTGATGAACTACAATTCGTGCTGATTGAACTACAATTACCAGAGAGTTGGCAAATGAGAAGGATGCTGGGAGAGCAGAGATATTCTTCAGCAAGGGACTGGCTCTCTCTCTTGGCTTGGGATTCAGAGCTGAACACAGGGGGGGACTGCCGTTGTCCTCCAGAGAAAGATTGCTGGCCTACTGCCATGGTACTCTGCACATCAGTTCAGCACAGCGGTGACACTGATCACCATACCGGGATCCTATCACTGCCATCACTGTCCGGTCTTCACACAGACATCTCTGCTTGCTGCACTGTCAGGCTGTAAATCGGCACATCCCTGCAAACATTCAAGAGCCTGGGCAAGAACTCTTGATGCTGCTGGTGTTCCTTTCGGAAGTAAATGGAAGTCAATTGCAGTACTAATAGAATGTTCCAGAAAAGAACTGCTTGCATTTTTGACTAATGATTCCACCAGTATAGCTTGGTTTGAATACAAATCCCTGAGTATTCTGTGTCTGTGAATTCCACCATTTGTTATGCCTGTAAAATATATAAATCATGTTTTTGCAGATACTCTGAAACTAAAGTGAGAATGAGATAAGCAAAATTTCATATTGTGTCTAAGTATGAACACATTTGTGGCCTCCCTCACAGCTTTATTTTCAAATTCAGGGGCAGGGGCGGACTGACCATTTGGAAACTCAGGCACTGCCCGAGGGCCCGGGGTCAGTAGGGGGCCCCATGAGATGCCCCTGGTACCTTTTTCATAGGCTTTTTTGAGTTTGGGCAAGGACACAGGGGCCCCATGATCCCCTATTGCCCGGGGGCCCCATGAGTTGTCAGTCCGCCCCTGTTCAGGGGATTCAGAAAAGTACTAGTACAGTAAAATGGTACAATTCTTTTGATTGGCCAACAGTGAAACCAAATATGGTGCACAGTGCTCTTGGAATGCTCCACCATCTTGTATCACCAGTTCACTTAACCACTTGCCTACTGGGCACTTTTACCCCCTTCCTGCCCAGGCCAGAGCTCTCATAATTTGAATGACAATTACGCGGTCATGCAACACTGTACCCAATCTACATTTTTATCATTTTTTTTGAGACAAATAGAGCTTTCTTTTGGTGGTGTTTAATCACCACTGGGCTTTTTTATTTTTTGCTAAACAAACAAAAAAAGTTTTTCTTAGTTTCTGTTATAAAGTTTTGTAAATAAGTAATTTTTCTCCTTCGCTGATGCGCACTGATAGGCTGCACTGATGAGGAGTCACTGATGGGCACTGATAGGCTGCACTGATATATGGCAATGATGAGGCTGCACTGATAGGTGGCACCGATGGGCACTTTTAGGCAGCACTGATGGGCACTGTTAGGCAGCACTGATGGGCATTGTTACGCGACACTGATGGGCACTGATAGGCAACACTGATGGGCATTGTTAGATGGCCCTGATTCAACTGATGGGCACACTGATGGGGTTCACTGATTCAACTGATGGGCATTGTTAGATGGCCCTGATGTGTATTGCCAGCAAACTGATGGGCACTGATTGATGGGCACTGATTGCCAACCTCACTGATGGGACTACACTGATCATCAGGGCACTGATTGTGGGAAAAAAAAACAATATTTCCTACTATAAAACATATCCAATAATTTTTTTTTTATAAATTTAGGCCAAAATGTATTCTGCTACATGTCTTTGGTAAAAAAAAATATATACACACAGTATATTATATATGAAATTATAATATAAAAAATATGCGTATGGTATATATCTCCATATATATTTGGACACAGGCACAATTTTCATACTTTTGGCTCTGTATGCCACCAGAATAAATTAAAATGAAACAATCCAAATGTATTTGAAGTGCGTCTTAATGTGATAGATATTTTAGGCCTACAATAATTTTTAACATTATTGTGAACTTTTGATAAGGGTCTCAATTCCTGCAACTTATTTACCATCTGTTGCATCACCTCAACACCCCCCTTAGAAGGTTTCCTGTAGAGGTTTATGACAGTAAGACCACATGGCTGAATAAGCCCCTACTGTCATAAACCTAATTTCTTCGTCATTTCTAACACCTCCTAGGGAGTATTGTCATAGATTTTCCTGTGGGAACTGGGTCTTCAAAGGAGGTATGCTTTGCTGGACATTGGCCCATCCTAAATTCCATCTGATGAACTACAGTTGGCCAATATCTTTCACAAATCACTGAGCCCCCCTTTGAACAGAAATAGCAAAATACTGGAACCTATTCAAGAGTGCGAATACCTGGAATGGAGGGGGTATAAAGTATGCCATTGCTCACATTTCTGCCCCTTTGCCCTCTTGCCTCTTTGGGAGCCCAGGCATCAGAACATCAGGATGTCTGTGTAATGTATCACCATTGTTCTGTTTCTTTCCTGTAACTTTATTTCCTATTGTCATCTCTCTTTTATTGGTAACATTCTGTATTTGCATAGTAATATTACTACTTTTAAAGTTATACCGACTACATTATATTTTGTTATATTTGATTAATAGCAAGCTTCTTTTCTGTGTAAATAAATTAGATCTTTATTTTTTGCCCAGTTGTTATCCTTTGCTATTAACATTATTGGTAATAGCCACACAAGGATTGGCTAAATTCATGTATAGACAAAAGGTTATAATCACTTATTACATTTATAATCTTAGATAGAACCAAGTGAATAAGTGTGGTAGCAAAACCGCCTAAACAAGACTTGCAGCTTTAATTCAAGGGGTTGAACATAAATATCAAGTACAAATTTTAGAAACTGCAACCACTTTTATACACTGTCCCTCCATTTTCAGGGTCTCAAATGTAATTGGACAAATAAATATAATCATAAATAAAATGTTTATTTTTAATATTTTGTTGATAATCCTTTAATGGCAATGACTGCCTGAAGTCTGGATCCCATGGACATTACCAAAGACTGGGTTTCCTCCTTTCTGATGCTTTTCCAGGCTCTAACTGCAGCTGTCTTCAGTTGTTCTTTGTTTGTGGGTCTTTCTGTCTTTAGTTTTGCCTTCAGCAAGTGAAATGCATGCTCAGTTGGGTTGAGATCAGTGATTAACTCAGCCATTGCAGAAAATTCCACTTCTTTTCCTTCAAAAGCTCCTGGGTTGCTTTTGCAATGTGTTTTGGATCATTGTCCATCTGTACTATCCAATCAACTTTGCTGCATTTGGCTTAATCAATGCTGACAGTATATCTCTAAACACTGCAGAATTCATCTGGCTGTTTCTGTCTTCTGTCACATCATCAATAAACACCAATGACCCACTGCCACTGGAAGCCATGCATGCCCATGCCATCACACTGCCTCCACCGTGTTTTGCAGATGACGTTGTGTGCTTTGGATCATGACCTGTTCCAAGCCTTCTCCACACTTTTTTCTTCCCGTCATTCTGGCACAGATTAATCTTAGTTTCATCCAGCCAAATAATTCTTTTCCAGAACTGGTCTGGCTTTGTTAGATGTTTTTTGGCAAAGTCTAATCTGGGTTTTCTATTCTTCAGGCTTATGAATTATTTGCACCTTGTGGTGAACCCTCTGTATTTGCTCTCGTGAAGTCTTCTGTTGATTGTAGACTTTGACAATGATAGGCCCACCTCCTGGAGAGTGTCCTTCACTTGTCTGGATGTTGTGAATAGGTTTTTCTTTACCATAGAGGAGGATCCTGCAATCATCCACCACTGTTGTCTTCTGTGGACATCCATGCCTTTTTATGTTGCTGAGCTCACCAGTGCATTCTTCATTCCTCAGAATGTACCAAACTGTTGATTTGGCCACTCCTAGTGTTGCTGCTATCTTGCTGATGGTTGTTTTGTTTTTGAAGCCTTACAATGGCCTGTTTCACTTGCATGGACAGCTCCTTTGAACGCATGATGTTGGTTCACAGCAATACATTCCAAATGCAAACACCACACTTAGAATAAACTCCAGACCTTTCACCTGCTTAATTAATGAAGGAATAATGAAGGAGTAGCCCACACCTGACCATGAAACAGCTTTTGATTCAATTGTCCAATTACTTTTGGTCCCTTGAAAAAGGGGGAATGGCTAATCTTAAGAGCTGGAATTCATAAACTGTTCCTCCAATTTGAATATACATACTCTCAAATTAAACTTGAGAGTGTGCACTTTCAGCCCATATCCATTATATAACTATAGCTTGAATATATTTTTGTAAATTCCTGGAAAATACTAAAATTGTGCCTGTGTCTAAATATATATGGACCTAAGTGTATGTATTTATTTATTTGATACTAGTAATGGCGGTGATCAGTGACTTATAGTGGGTCTGTGATAGTGTGATGGGCAATCTGACACTAACTGACACTGAGACATATTTAAGGGAAAATCCCTCTTACAACTCAAATTTGTCTGAAAGCTCATATACTCTAAAGCTGGCAACAGATGGTTCAAATCTCATCCAATTCAGCAGGGACCAACCAAAAATTCGAACCATCTATGGATGGGTTGATTGTACTCAATTCAATTGTTGTATGACATGGGTACAACCAGCCTGTTCTTGTGAGATTATTGATAGCGACTATAGCCACTAGCAATAATCACTGTGTTCTCCTGGCAGGAATGGCTCCCCTTGCCAGGAGAACACAATAGCTCCGCAGGAGGGATTTTCCCATCAACACTGAGTGTATCATCTATGGCCAGCTTAAGTACTCAGTATCCCATAGCAGTGTATATGATGACCATGTATATCAAAGAGGCCAGAATGGCAGTCTTCATATGTTTCTTTTTTGGTCACATTTAGGCATTAAATGCAATGTACAGTAGAGAATGGTCTGATATTTCCCTCAATGAGAGGCATCATACAAAATCAGCATAAGGAAGTAAATGATATAAGGAAAAAAATGAAAAATGCTGGGATATTGGATGCTTTCATCTCTATAGTTAAATTAATTCAAACTCATTAGACCCATCTGTAACATGGTATTGTCATGGGAAATGAATTTAATTTTATCTAGCATTAGATTAAGTATTACATTAAAAACACCCATCATCAACAAAATAAGAGCCAGAGGTAGTGATGAGGTTACACTCATTAAATTAGACAGTTCTTCCAGGGAGTACTTGAGGAGCTATAAAGGTAATTAGAATTAAGGGACTGAAAAAAAAACACTATGTAAAGCACAATCAATTTCACATGTGGATCTTTGTATATTGTATAAAAATAACTCAAATACAGCAAGTAAAACTTAAATTAAAAATCTGTATGAATAAGCCCATTAGGATGAAATATGTCAAAGAGGGGCAGTCTTTGGACAGGGCAAACCTATGTTGCTTCATTGCTTGAACAGACCAAAAAAAGCAAGACTGCCAAGTTAAAGTATATCTAAAGCCAAAGCTTTTCATTTTTTTTTGCTTTGGGAATAAACCCGTTATGTTTTTTTTTTTTTTTTTGCTGTGTTCTCTTGATGAGTTTTTCCTCCCTTCGAGTCCCATAGACATAGTAAGTAAGAGCAAATCTCTCCAAAGTAAGGGGAGATTCTTTCTTAGATTGTTAAAACTGAAATAAGCGTCCCCTACTCAAAGTTTCCTTTCTATTCTTGCTCCAGCAACAATTACAATTTGTAAAATTTGCAATCACTTTCTGTCCAGGTGACAATGGCATGGCCAAAACTGACCTAGACCCTGTAACATTGTCCCAGTATTTGAAGAGTTCCACAAATCCATGACATGTACTGCCATAGAAATGCAAAGATGGCCACCAGGCCAAGTTGTCCGGCAAACAAATGAACCATGGCCACCGAGCCAAATTGTCTACAGTAGAATTGAATGGGTAACCACCAAGCTAAGGTGTCTAACACAGAAGTGAATGGTTGGCCACTGGGCCAAGCTGCCCACCATATATGTTTATAGGTGACTACCCTATTAAGCTCTTAGGTGGGCCTTGCATTCGCAGGACAAACCACTGACTCTGAGGCATCAGGGCATTTTTCCTTACATACAGTAAATACTGCCTCTTTTTTACCACCATCACCGGTGCATTTTACTAACCATTGTGGCATTTTTCCTTTTCCTCCTACTGACATTGGGGCATCTTTTAGTCCATAAACAACTTGCCCAAAGTTATCTTGAGTGCCAGTTGACACTGTACATCGCATGTGATTCGCACAGGAATCACATCTCATGTGATTTCTGTGTGGCGCAGTTTGAGCCATACACTTTGTAAGGCTCAAATTGCACCGCATTTGTACCAATGTCGCGCAGGATCCTTTTTTCATCTGCTCCAGAATCACACCGTACTTTGCAACCGATTTCGGGTGTTTTTAATTTAACATACACACCCACAACGGCTCGCATGAATGGGTGCGATTGTGATGTGGTGTGGGAATCGCACAGAAACTTGTGCAAATTCCACACCGCATCAGTGTGAACCGGCACTTACAAGGA